TAATCTTGTGATGCTCTAGCTATCCTCATGTATGTATCTTACTTAATTCATAATACATCGTTTGTGTGGCCTTAAGCCTTCTAACAAACGGACATGACTCTAAAAACAATTTGAAAAATAAGGGTATGTTTGGTAAAATAATTGGTAATCGAAAGTTATAACTTGTAGATAAAAGTTTGAAACTTGAAGTTGCAATTTTTATTTATACAAAAATATTCAATAAAAAAGTTGTAAGTTTTTTATATTTATAAATAAATAAAACATAAAAGTTAAAAGTTTTTAAAAACTAATTCTATTTAAAAAATAAAATATCAGGCTTGTACTTTCAAATAATTTTTTTTAATTTGTAAATTTTTTATTTTGAAAACTGAAAATTAAAAACTCTTAAAAAAAAGTTTATTGTATGATTATACCTGAAAGTCACTATTAGTAAATAATCAGATCTTGTAATTGACCATTAAACCAACATCTATGATGAGGAATTATTTAAAATATAAAGTGATACTCAATGAATAATCCACATCGTACTACTTCACATCAATAGTTTTCTGGATCATTGTCATCCAAAACTATTAAGAAATTCTCCCAAATAAAACATTGTATGTCAATTTTATGATACCACTTTATTTATAAAGACAAAATCACACCTATTTGTACTTTTTTTTTTCTTTTTCAATGTTAATTTTTATACTGGTTATTGGGATTATAGATTAATTAATTCATTTGAAGTGATGGTGAATTAGCTTATTTTAGCATAACTTTAAGATGAAGTAAAGGAAAACCGAAAGAAAACAAATATTATAAAAATTCATTAGTCGTAACTTGCGCATATGAAAATGTATTAAATTTTAAGGTTGAAATCGTTTTTATCATTTAATATGTTATTTTATGGGGTTTTATATGATATAAAATATAATTAAGGATTTAAAAGTAAATATAAGACCATAAGATAGATATTAAACATGGTATATACAAGTAAAACATGAGTGACAACGGAATTTTGATTTAGAGAAGGAATTTTGGCATAACTCAAAATAGAAATTCTTTGAGGTGACTTTTTATGTGATTGTTCTTGTTCTCAAATAAATAGGTGTTTTTTTTTGTATTTTTATATTTTATAATATATGTATACACATAAACTTATGTATGTAATACACATAAATGCATGTATATAAATACATATATTGTTGTATATATATATATATATATATATATATATATATATATATATATATATATATATATATATATGGAAAAGTGAATATACCCTTAAGGATATATAAGCTTAGATACCCAAACACACCATAACACGTCATTTTGTATGATATATTTATTATAATGTTCTTAAACTTCAACTCCTAACATGATTTACTTTTAATATTTTCGAAATTTCATTATTATCTTTCTCATACATCACATCTTTTGCCGAACACCTACTAGCCTATATATATTGTAGTTGAAAATAAAAATTATGTAAGAGTAAAATAAATGTGTAATTTATTAAAATCCTAGAAGTAAATCAACTTCGAAGTTAAATTATAAGAACATTGGATAATTAGAATGTATTATATGATACAAAATGATGTAGTATAATGAGTTTGGGTACCTAAGCTTATATACCCTTAAGGGTATATTCACTTTTCCCATATATATATATATATATATATATATATATATATATATATATATATATATATATATATATATATATATATATATATATATATATATATGTTTGTGTGTGTGTGTTTATATGTTGATGTTATGATGCTTCCATTTCTTATATTAAACATGTGATTAGTATACTAGTATATTCATCTAACTTGTGATCAATAATTATTTATCTTTTGATCTGTTTATATAATAAATTGTTATCGTTTTAAGGACAAAAAAAGAAAATATAAAACATAATATTGTAGTTCACATGATGGTACTAGTACCATTTCCCATGTGCATGCATGAATCCCTCATTTAATGGTTTTGTAAGTTGTCATTTTCAAAAAAAAATAGCAAAGATGGCATTCTGTAGCACATAAACAACTATCCTTCCAATCTTATCTCTTCGAGCTAAGAGATGCTTATGGTTCAGTTTAATTTGGTTTCCACTAAAATTGAACTATATTGAAAGTTGTCTTAGCCCTAAAAAAAATTGTACAACGGCTTAATAATGCCAAAGTTATGAAAGCATGAAGAAGAAATTTGCTTAATTTCGCAGTATAATACCAAAAGGAAAAAAAGTTGAAAGATACGTATCTAACAAGGCTTATTAGAATGCAACAAATGTCGTAAAGACCTCAAATAATTAATTAGGTAAATAACTTACATATGTATATGTTACAAATATAATATCTTATCAAGATACAACTTGGTTGATTTTGATTTTTCATGCAATACCCTTTAAATTTGAGGATATGTCGCAATAAATTCTCATATAGAGAGGGAATAAACAACATTAAATAAACAAAATCTCCCAAAATCAATAATGTTCATAAAAAATGTTATAACAGTCAAAAAAATTAATAGAACCATCAAGTTCATATTGATCAACATCAACACGATATGACGTCAATGATACCAGAACCAAATATTTAGAATCTAATGAATCGACAATGTTAAAACTCATCAATTCTCTTACATCTCTAAGTCCTAAAGTGCTCAATATCAAGAAATCCATAATCAAAACCTTACATGGAATACACATTGTAATAAGGATTAGGCTATAAATCTTAGTAAGACATGCCATTACTTATCTACATCACCACAATAAGGGTACTTCCATGCCTTTATAGAATAATCCCTATTTGGCTCTTGTTGATGAGCCACACTTCGGGATCCTACTTTATTTCATCATTTGGTGGGCTCTCGAGTATATCTTAAAGTTACTCGTATGGGTCATGTTTATTATATACACATAGTTACTGAATTTATCATTGTCTTTTGCTCTTATAGTTGCATCGGATTTTTTGCATCATAGGGTATCACAAGGTAACAATGTAACTATGCTTCATGATCTTTATGTCTCATATACATCATCTCAAACCCTTTCGAGCTACTAGATGAGACTTAATATATCTTCGTTGTTGCATTTTATGTGGATAATCTCTTATGTCTTGAAGTAATAAGAAACATTAATTATCAACTAAATCCAACATTGAAACTAAATACCATGCCTTAGCTAATACCATTGAAGAGTTTATTTAGTTATGTTCACACTTATTTTGTATATGGGTTGTTAGAGTTCAATATATGGATCTAGTTGTAGTTTGATACTTACTTTAGATCACTATATAGCAAATATATAATTATGGTCACAACCATTTGGGATTTATAGTTATTCTACTTTGAGGTAAACTTCATGTGATGTAGTATAGAATTCATCAATGCACATAGACCAAATAAGCTCATATATATTAATAGTTACACATGAGTATAGTAACTTCGATAAATAAGTGTTATCTCCCTAATGAATAAACACATAATAGAATTGAGATTATTGATCTCATTAGAGAATGGTAACTATAACGTCCTCACATTTCGGTTAGAAGACAAGTGTACATATTTTGGATGATGATTCAACGTTATGAAGAGATAAAGAATGTCATGGAATTGGAAAATAATGGAACTAATGAGATGTTTAATATGAAAGTATTCTCTAAATATCATATTTGGATGCAAGTATTCAGGAGAGCCTTTTACCTAAACATGTGCATATTTATGTGGGTCTTAATGTAACTAGTTTATCTGGAAATATAAGGACCTATATTTTTCCATGGTGATGTACATTTTGTGTCATTGTTTGTTGACTTGCTTCCATTAGTCTAGATGTGATCCACGTGAACCGAAAAACGAAACAATCTACACTAGGTGTTGTTGACCATGTAGAAGTGCAAATGGATCGTGGTAGACCTGTCGACTAGCCTTCCAGAAAATTTCCAGGGAAGTATGTGCATTCTTAATGAGATAAGTGTGTGTATTTGAAGCTTGTAAGGTGAGTTTATAAAGCTTGACAAGGATTAACATGATAACATTCAACACTCTTTTCTTAGTTGTGATGAATTGAGGTTTATGGGACAAACTCAAATGTGAGTAATTGTGTTGCATGAAGAAACCATGTACATATTATGAAAGAATGAGCAATAATGTCATGATTTCTTGCAACAATTACATAAATGATGGTTCGATGATATAACTTTACAATGGTCAAGTCAAGAGCCACTAAATTGAGTTTGAATGAGTTATGTATCGTTAGTTTTGATTTGATGCAAGAACACGTATGTGAATGATAAATTACTAGTTTAACCTTTGACTTTAAGAAGTCAAATTTGAAGATTTGTGCTAAGAAATGAGAAGTGGCATTATGACGCTAATGAAATGAGAAGTTAGTCACAAAACTTAATGTGTCATTAAGAAGGAATGATGGATGGTAAAGATTGATAAATCAGTGATAAAGTGTTATCATTAGCGTTATGGGACATATAGTGAACAAGTGGTACGATTGAAAGCTTGATAAACCATTTACCCTAACGAATTGAAACAAGATACATACCAGAGTTTCAAAAGAGGTACAAAGCTAAAAGAATGAATTGGAATGAAGATAAGATGTTGAATGAGTATATTTGGTCTTATGCACATATTTGGAACTTAAAAAAAGGACAAGTTGAGAGTAAGCTTTGAGGTTAACCTAAGGGCTAGTACAGAAACACAAACACATTTTCCCATTTTAGGGTACTACATGTCGCAAATGATTGAACTTGTTTTCTAGCAAAGATTTATCTGTGAATGTATATTTGAAAAGCATCATTTGGAATGCATATACTTCAAGAGTCTAGTATGCTTTTATTATTATTATTATGCAGTATACATGAAGATTTGTTACAATGGATTATATGGATATAATTCATTTTGTTCCATTTTGGTAAACAGGAACATGGAAAAAAGAAAGAAAAGTTAACAATGTTGATCATAGCCTTTTTATTTTAACTGAAACAGATCCTGAGTACTTTTTTTTTTTTTTTTTTTTTCCAAAAGTATGGCAAAAGGTAAAACTTAATATGGCGTAAGGAACCATGTAAACAGAAGTAGCGATTAGAGATATAAGACTTATAAGAGAGACAAATAATACGATGTTTTGCTAGTTGCTATTTACAAAACAAATTCTGTAGAAACCAAACAAACCATCGGATCAAATCACCACATCCACATATAACTGTAAAAAAGAAACAAACATGATTAAAAATAAATAACGATTTTTCCTTAAATCAATGTAACCGGCCTTTTGCGATGCGATGTTGATATGTTTTTTTTTTTTTCAGATGAAAAGTTTACTGACCTTGAGATTGAGAGTCCGGGAGGGCGCCTGGAGAAACTTTTATTGCAGTTAAGAAATGATTCCAAATTCCAAAAGCTTTCCAGACAAAATGTACAAAATTCGGTTAATAGTTTGAAATGAAAAGCTTCTTGTTCATGACAAATCAAACGATCCTTGTCCTTCACTGATAGCATACACCAGTTGCTTGTACATAATTTCCTGTAGTAATCACTTGTTAGTTGCTACCCAAAATTACAAAATTACAAAATTGCCCTCATTTAAATACAACCAACCTACTTTCATTTAATTGTTTATTTTTATTATACCTTGGTGGAATAAGCAGGAAGCTTCAAGTAATTAGCACATGTCATGACACTTGGCAAGTCATCATCTGCAGATTCCGACGCGCCACCCGCACTCGATGTCACATTACTGCTTGTTGAAGAGTGCTGAGCAACACACAAACAACATTTTATAACCATTTATTTTAAAATTATTAATTAATTATTATACAGAAAGTCAACAATACCTTTCTCACAATGGTCAACTTAGGATTCAAAATTGCAAAACCACCGGGAGGAAGCCGAGGTGCACCAGTGACAAATTGACAAAATGCCCTTTGCTGTTCGGGAGTGAACTCTCCCATTATCTCAAGCAACTAAACAGTTGTGAAAAAAAAACAATAGTAAGTTTTTTTTTTTAATGATAATGTGAATTATATGGAATTTTGACTTACGTTGACTATTGCAGGGCTCTTGGAAGTATATCCGTGATCGAATTTTATGTGGTCCACAAGTTTGTCAGCCTGCGGTTTTGTAAGAAAAATGAAGCAAAAAAAATATTTAATTACAACAACTGGATAAAAAATATTTAACATATTTACCTCCCACAACTCTCGTTGGCCACAAAGTAAATGATCTAATTCATTTGGGGTGAATATTTGCAAAGCCGTAATGTCAAAGACCTGGTGAATGAGCAAAAAATACACATTAGTTGAAATTATTTAAATCAAAATTATGAAAAGATATGTCTCAGGAAAACAGGTTATGTGAAAGACATATCTATAACAATATAACTGTAACGTATTGTTACCAATATGTAAGAAAAGAGAGCATATGAAAAATCATCATTTTTTTTAAAGAAGCAACATCAACATGAAGTTAAAAATATAAAAAAGAAATATGACCTGATTGAAACCAGCTCTGAATGCTTCCATTTGTCTTGTGATACCTGTCTTGACAGTAGCAGCAACTACAAGGGAAATGTACTCTTCCAAATTGTCTATGCTGACCTGTCATTCCCAAAAAAGAATCATATGAATTATGAATATACACAGCAGCCTTATTAAAAAAAAAAAAAATTGAAAGGTAAAAGGATGAGTAAATACATCTTCATTGCCAGGTCTCAAAATGTAATCAGGAAATCCAGGAAGTGTGAAGTCCAAACAAAGATCTTCAACAGGAGCACCTCGGAAATTTAAGTCAAGTATTGCATTGCAATCATGCCTAGGTGTTGACTCCAGGTATTTTTTCCGACAAACAATCGCTTGCAATTCTTGCAATGTCTTCCCAAGTTCAGCATCAAAAGAAGAAACATCATGTAAATCAAGCTCCTACAATGAAAAATTAAGAAAAGGCGCATAAGTCAATTCAGAACAGAAAAAAAGTGGAGTCAATAGTTCATTAACAATCAACTTACTTGTCCAAGAACAAGCTTGTAGAAAGCAGTAGAAAGAGGCATGTCCAAAAGCCTCCCATCTTGAAGAGCTTTCGCCATTACACAACCAAAAAGCCAGAAATGCTCAATCACTTTACCATCACAAGAAGATTCAACCCAAGGGCGTGGGAACAACCCAAGAGGTGAAATTACAATATCGCCCAAATCATCTTTCTTCTCTTCAACTTCAACTTCCATTGCCATACTCCCGTCACCCGAGTTATTACATCTCCACATCTTCAACCCCGTTCTTTGCAAATCATGACTCAAAAGCGTATAAAACTCCAAAGTGGGACCCAACCCAGTCCCAACCTCACCAAAATACTCCACTTCCAAAACAGCCTTTTGGCTCGAATACATTTCCATTACTTTCGCAGCAGATTCCAATATTCTATTCCGGGAAACCCGCACTTTCTGGCGCGACAATCGCCTGACCCGTAACTCCCGCTCGGTGGTCGACCCGTGCCCGTCTGCCCCCTGTTGCTGGAGCCGATGTAGGGCCCGCGACAACCCGAAAGCAGTGGAATAAAAATACTGTCTTCGTGTTTCAAATGGAAACAAGAAAGGACATGCTTTGGTCAACTGATAACACCATGAAGGAAGACTACCACTGCAAAGAGCGAGCACATCTTGAACTTGTCTGGATAATTTCGGGGTTAATTTAGAGTTCACAAACTCGTCAGATGAAACTCGAACACCAGGGGTAATTATGTCGTTTATGCTTGAAATTTTTCCTTCCGAGAATTGATCGATTATTGTTTCGATACGTAAACGCGGTGCTAGCTGATTTAAACCTTCTAATACGCGAAGCAGAGACAGAATATTGTAAGTGGGGTTTTCTTTTTCCATGTCGCAAGGGAGTTCGCCTTGGAGGATGCTATCTAAGAGAGACATTTGACATGTGGACCCCGGTTTTGTTGAATTTGTTGTTTTTTGTGAGTTTATATCGGCTTTTTGGTAGGTGATTGTGTAGATATCGTTCCATAGTTTGCTTCCATCGGTGTTGTATTGGTCATTGTCGCCTTCATCTAACACAAGCTGTTGTTGAATGGCTTGATAGATTGTTAAATGTCGGTTGAGTTGTTTACCATTTGAGGAGAAGCTTAACCGGGGGGTGTTGTGGTCTCTACCACCACCGCTGCCGCCCCTAACCGCCCTAGCGTTGGCGGACGCGAGCCCGGCCATGGCGGCTGCTGCGAATGACATTGATCCCCTTGAGCTGAATGAAGTCGGACCACGGAAGTCGGTTGAGTCTGAGCCGCGAGCTGGGGTTGATCGGCTCGTGGAACCGCGTGCGGGGTTTGTGTGGCTGTCGCTGGTTGTGGGACCCGCGAGGGTGGTGTTGTCGGTTAGTTTGACATCGTGGACATCTGGCATGCAAGCTGGAAGTGAATCGTCCCTTAGCACCTGTGAAAATGGGAAGAAGGAGAATCGTATGTAAAAAGTTGTATTTGTGAAAGATTATAAAAAGTTATCAATGAGTCTTCGTTGTATGTCTGTAGTAAACAAATGAATGATATAATAAACAAGTGAACAGAAATAAGGGTAACATACATCATCATCATCGTCATCTTCTGATATTTCATCATCTTCAATCACCAATGCATCATCAATATCAACAGGTGATATATCTACATCCTCATCCTACAGTACACACATAAGTAAAGTAATCAAAAACAATAAAAAAATTAAAGAGCACTTTATTTAGCACATGAAGAGCATACCTCAGAAGAAGATTCATCATCCACAGACTTCATCAAAGTGTCTTTATCAGAAGCAGCCCTTCTTCTAGAAGCATTTCTTGTATGTGGTCCTCCTCTCCCCTCATCTTGACTTGCCTTCAACACAGCCTTCCCCTTTCCCTTTGAAGAACTTGCATTTTTCTCATGTGGGGTATCCTTTTCACCTGAATTCCCTATACTAATCGCTGACCTGGACCTTGTTGACTGACGCCGTGTACCCGAAGCAGGAGTAGAAGAAGAAGGCGACGAACCGCTGCCGCCACCTGCCGCCGTGTTTCCAGACTCCGAGTTCCCAACAGAAGTACAAGGCTTATTATGGCTAGATTCACTACGTTGCACCCTAGGCCAAAGAAAGTCTTCAACAGCAGCCAAACTTGCTAAAGGGTCAATGAGAAGAACATTTGAGGAATAATCACGAAGTGATTTTTCACCATGTGATCTTACAAGCCGAAGTTTGAACGGACAAGATGAAGCGGATAAACCAGATGACAGACGCGCACTTGTAGAGGATCGAGAATTGTGAGTCAACACTACAGGAAACCTTTCTAACGAAGTCAATGCATTTTGAAGCTTTTGAACTAAAACACTCATAGGAACTAAATTCGATTCATTGTAGACACTTGAAAACGCGATTGATATAAAAGATTTGTATCTTTTGATAGCTAGTTGACGTAACTTTGGGAGATTCGCTTCTGACACTGACACCCTTTCTTTTGAGAAGCTTCCACAAGTTAAGTAGTTAAGTAAAGCATCCACAACACCACTTCCTATGAACTCAAATGTAGAAACACTGTCTCTTTTGGTTAACTCTGAGAGCATAAAGGTTACCACTCTTAACAAATTATCTTCCTTAGTGGGTGAAAAATCAAGAAACCGGGGTGATGTGGAAGCTTTTGACTTCCCTTTTGACTTTGACTTATGGTCGTCAGATAAAGCAACCAACTTTGAGCAAAGATTCTTTAAATGTAGAAGATCATCTGTAATCCCAGCTTCAGGAGCTCCAGGGATTGAAGGGAAGAATTTATCTTTGAAAGCTTTTGCACTTGTACTTACTGACACCCGGAGATTGGAATTGAGTGTGGGAGCCTCTAGGGAACTTGGAGGTGAGCCCTCGGTTTTGGGATCTTCGGGGTCCACATTGGGTGGTCCAAGGCGGCGGCGATAGCGTCTTGAACGTGATGATCCGGGGGTAGAATCGGTATTATTATTTGATGATGATTGGGAAAGAGGATTGGTGGATGGACCAGATAAAATGAGTGTGTCTATAGCATGAACTACACCTTCTCTCACAAAAAGTTTGGAGAAAGTTTCCGGAAGCTTTTCCATTAGGATTTCTGCAATTTGAAGTGATGGCAATAGAGCTTGTGGATCTTTCCATGCCAAAACTCCTGCTAGGAAACTAGTCACGATAGCATATAACATCAGGGGTCTGTTTGGTATGATGGAATTCAACGAGAAAGGAATGAAAACTTATATACCTTGATATATTTGTAACACCAAGTAGAGATTGGATCATATCTGATGTGCTGAAGTACATCAGTTTCCCAATAACTGATAGACATTTATGACGCACAGGTGTATTCACACTTGACCCATATATCTACAAGACCAAAAAAAAAAAAGTTCATTTTAAACTTTAAAGTAGGTTGCTAAAATGAGTTGTAATTAAGAGTTTCCATTAAAACTAACCTGAATGAGAACAGGAAGAAGGTCCATTCCAAATTGCAGCAAAAGGCCAGGTTGATCAGTCAATAACTTCTCTTTTTCTGGTGCACCACCACTTGTTTCTTCTTGCTTTCCAGGTGACTTTCTTATAAGAGACCCTTTGACAAATAAGGTAGAGCTAGAAGGAAGAGATATGGTTCCTTGAGGCAATGGAGGAAGAAGCTCATTTGTCAAATTCACAATCTCAAATATCTGCATGAAGACATCAAACAGATTGGTTATAAATTTTTTCGATTATTAAAATTATAAGGAGTCAGGGAAAATCTGTAAGCATGGAGAAGGAGAACAAGAAGTATAAATAAGCATTACCTGTTCTGGTGGCCTACTCAAAGCAGGGGATACATACATGCTTGCAGCATGACCAGAGCCTGATAATATATCTTTAAGAATGCCACTAATCCCAAGAAGCAGCAATGTTTTTGATCCTAAAGGAGACCCACTTGCACATGCGGATAACAATCGAATTAATCCCTGAAAAATCTTTTTGTTAGGTAATGCAACCTCCAAAAGCTATGTGCTTTTTCCAAAATAAAGTCATCAATATACCGTATATGTAGATGGACTGAGAGATGCCTGTCCACCTCCAGAACTACTGGTTGAAATGAGGGAGGCAGCTTGTGTAACTAATCCATGGTTGCATAGCTCATCTAGTTTATCAGGAGATGCTGCAAATGCTTCTACAATTCGAGTCAAACAAACGGATGCATGCTCCAAAACCTACAAAGAGAGTATTGTTTCAAAAAACAATCAGAAACATAAAAAAGTTAATAAATTTTTTATTCTTGGAATCAAACAACTCACCTTTGCATCATGATACTGAAGAAGGTTTGTCAATAGAGGAACGGCTTCCATGACAAAATCAGCTGCATCAGATGGAAGTTTCTTGCAGATATTTGCAGCAGTAGAAAGTGCTACTCGCTGAAAGATAAAATGAGATTATGGAAAAAGGGATAATATTATATATATATATGCTTAAAACTTAAAACTATATCATGATTAAGCAACATACCTGGACTCCTGTAGAGAAGAAGTCAAGATACGACAGTACTGCCATTAGTGCACCTGCCCTCAAGCATGCAGTTGGATGCTCCTGGGAGATCTTCTTAAGAGCTTGCAAGGACTGTTGTGAAAACAATTCCATTGAACACAGGATTAGTTTAAATCCACAAGTGAAGTGATATAAACATTTAGGAAGTAAGATTGCACACCTGTTCAGCCAAGTCCATGTACTCGATTGTAAGCAATCTAGCAACAAAGCAAGAAACAGCACCATAATGCACAACTGCTGGGCATGAAGAAGGTAGCACATCACATAGATGTGTGAGTGCCCTAGCTGCAAGCAACATGATATCGGGATTGCTTTCATGGTTAAGCAACCCAACAAGAACAGGCACAAAAGAATCCACGGAGAAAGTGCTTAGAGAATCCTCAGTGCCAATAGAAAGCATGTCACATAACTGTGTCAGAGCCTCAACTTGCTTTCCTTCTTCCCCATCAGCACGCAAGCCTGAAAGAATTTTCTTTAGTCGTCCACTCTGGTGAGATGATGAAGCGGATGCCATTGCTGATGACGGAAGCAGATCATCTAACCCTGCACCCAGTTTCCTCAATAAGCCTTGAAGTGCACTACTAGCAGAAGTCAAATTCTGATGTAAAATCCCCACGCCGCCACCATCACTGTCATTGTCATTGTCATCGTCGTCGTCATCTTCATCATCAACTCCCCCGCGGTCTTTATTAAATCCTAAAATGTTGTCTCTGTTGTTATCTCTATCTCTATCCCTAACCCTAATTTCATTCTCTTTCTCTTTGCCTTTATCCAAATTATCCTTATCCAGTCCCGCATTCGGATTATTTATGTTCTTTCCACTACGACGGCCGCGGGCTGACCCAGAGCCTGACGGTTCATTAATGTTAGTATCCATGTTAGAAGCGCGTGAGCGAGTACAAACGGATTGCGCAACGACGTTGGAAGGTGTAGCAGCGGCGGCGGGGGATGTAGTGGAAGAGAGACGAGTGCGTTTGTTGGAACGAGTGGCAGGACCGCCGGACGATGAAGAAGAAGGGGCTGATGAGGTGGCCTCCGCCCTCTTCCGGCTACGAGTTTCCATACAAAACCCCAAACCCACCTTTCGGAATCAACGATCAACGACGATCGATGAAATAATAAATCCTTATCATCATCGTCCTCGTAGTCGAAGAATCTTACAAACAATACTTCAATTTACCCTGCGAAAAAGGTCCAATTTGCACCAAATCTGACAAACCCTAGAAAAATCAATCACGGGAATTATTGTTTCTTTACTTGGTGTAAACCGATTGATTGCAAAGAGACGCATGCGTATGATGAATTTAGGAGTGTACCGACATCAATTTTATGATGAGGAAGGTATAATCAATCCATAAAGGAAAACCCTAATTTATGTATATTGCCCCTTTCCTTGAAATAGTACATTTTGTACATGTTTTATGTTCATGTGTTAAAAAGTCCTTTTCTTTTCCTTCGTTTCTTTCTTGATTTGGAAACAATCAAATTTTTTCGTATTAAAATTAAGAAAATTACATTTTTTTTCTCTGAGTTTAGCTTTTTTCTGTTTTGATTTTGAAATTTACAATTTATCCTCCTCATTTCATCAAATAATCTTTTACTTTTATTTCCTAAAAAAATAAAATTAATGATATTCACATGTCATTAATCTATAAAAAGAAAAATAAAAACAAAATATAAAAAGATATTTAATTTTTTTATAATAATTTTGCATTGTTGGAAAAAAAAAAAATAAAGTAATAACTATATACCCATTTTATCTATTTTTATATATATTGACAATTTAAATCATTATTATATTACATTTCGTCCCACCATAAACCACTTACCCCTCTCATCTTTTATGATTTTTGCTTTTATTTGGAAGACCATACAAAAATCATTATTTTCGTCTAAAAACAATTACTTTAAGTTTTATATATATTATTACCAAAATATTTGTAAAAAATATACGGTTTTATCATTTGACCTATCCTAACATATTTTTCAGGTCAAGTGGGGGAGAGTTGTAACATCTCGAACTTCGCATGTATATTTCGAATCCTTCCTCTTTTATAAGTTGCCAATTGTAGTCCCTGGAGTGGTTGAGTTGGGCCATGAGAAGTATAAGGACTAAAGTTGTCATTTTGAGTCAGGAAGGAGTACGTTGAGCGTACATAAGGGTACATTGAGCATACTAGGCGCGCCCTAGTACGTTGGGCGTACTCATGTCAGGTGCAAACCCTAATATTTAAGGTTGGGGACTATATAAACACCCTTGTAACTCATTTCCTCTTATTATCATCAGCCTCCATATCCCAGAAAACGTTCCAAACCCTAGTTTTGTGTGTGAGTGTGAGTTGGTGTGCATTTTGAACCATTGAAGGTGAAGTCATTGCACCAAGGAGTTGGAGAAGGAGATCAAGGCTATAGATATGAAGTTGTGTTATGCCCTAGAAGCTCCAGAAGGTAAAAAGCTTGGAACTTTATGCTTGTGTGTTAGAGATCTAGTCATTTTAGCTTTATGGAAGCTTTCTTGTCCCAAAAGTCCCAAAATGGTGCATGTGATGACTTTGACAAAATGGGTTGTCCTTTCAGACATTAGAAGAGGTCCTAAGTGATAAAAATGAGGTTCTAATAGCTAGATTTGTCTCATGCATGAAGTAGGTGTTGGATTAGTGTCTAAGTTCATAACTATTTTGGTATGTACTTGACCCGATTATAAGTATGGTCCTTTTGAGTTGCCTTCACCATAGCAATATGTAGGATGAATTAAGGAGAGAAAGGTTTAATTATGATTTATTAATATATTATGAGAATAATATATTAAAGGAGAAATCATGTTTTTTAATTAATATTAGTCAATAACTAATTAAGTATTAATTTTGTGGCTAAAGGAGATTAATTAAACTTAGGGGATTGAAGTTGTAATTATAAGATAATAACAATTAGGCTATGGATCACCTAATAATATATAGGTTGGACGAATTCTATGGGAAGCCCATAAGGAATTCGTCCAAGGGATATGTTAAAAGAGTCCATGGGCTGCTTAGGACCTAAGCGATCATATTAGGGTTTCCTAGTTGCAAACCCTAATAGCCTACATGTAAATGCTTAGTGGTGTTTGTGCCTCCCCTCTCTTCTCTCCTTATTCCAATTGCTTAGTGGTGTTTGTGACTCCATTAGAGGTGCAACACTTGAGGCACTAAGCTTTTTGAAGCCAATCAAAGCAAGGAATTGATTGTTATTGCTATATAACAATCAAAGGTAATTACTAAACCCTTATTTTAGTTCTTATATGATAGATTTAGGGTTTATAGCTTTAGATATTCAATTGCATGTTCATTAAACAAACTAGATCCAAAAGCTATTAGGGTTTGCATGTTGTGACAACCCGAAATTTTCATTCGGTCAAACCCTAAAAGTCAATCACTTCATATTATAACTCAATTTCATTTCTATTTGTTTTTAACAAATTTAAAGTTAGTTTGACTATTATAATAATTATTCTTTAAACGAACGGGTGAAAGGATGTGTCGTCTCGAGTTTTGAAATTTCAAAACCGCGAATACCACGTAGCTTAGAAGTTCACGACCAAACTTTTATGTTTGGGCCTCAAATTACCCTAAAAACCGTAAACTCATGCTTAAGCATGAGTTTACTCCCCAAAACACTCACTTCTCATTTGAAACCTCAGGAGTAAACTACAAACACTCTCAAGTATCATCCCGGTTTTCACCCGATTTCCCGAAAACGTAAGTATTTCTCGATGTGATTAGTTGGTATAACATAACAACTAGTGATTACACATCTTTTCATCCATCCATTATTGTGTTTTGATTAGATTTCCAAAAACACCAAGAACACACACTAGTGTTCTTGGGCCCTTAGCACCTTTTCAAGCTTCCAACTAGTAAGTATTCCTACCCTAGTGTATTGTAAGGCTTGTTATACTTCTATACATCAAAGAAACTCAAGGAAACACCAAGATCAAAGGTGTTTACTGTAACGTCCGTGTTTCTGGGCTAAAAGCATTAATAACGTTGTAATAGTCTAGGTCAACCTTTGTAACTCATTTTGAAGTAATAAAGAGGAATTATGTGAATATTATGTGAATTATATGCTTATTTGCTTAATTATTATGATTTAATTAATTAATCATGAAAATAAGCATTGAAAATAAATATTAGAAAAGCAATTATCTTTTAAGAAAGTTGTAGTGACCAAAACAAGGATTCCGGAGATATAAAGAACGCCGAAATTCGAGTTATAACGAAGAAGTTATGACATGTCGAAGTTTCGCGACGGAACCGGCACGACACCGGGAAGCGTAAAAAGTGAATTTACGATAAAGTGATTTTTAGCCTTAACAATCTAAACAAAATTCATAGTATTCGTTTAGACGAGAATTTTGATAAAAAGAACGTCCAAATCTGACTTCGTATGAGGAAGTTATGATTTTTCTAAGTTTTAGCTTAGCAGTAGACAGCTAAATACTCAAATTTAAGATCGAGTGATATTTAGCCAACACAACCTAAACGAGAATCAAAGGTTTCGTCAATAGTAGTACAACGGTAAAAAGACTGACGAAAACGGACGTCGGATGAAGAACTTACGAATTTTTAACGGATATTCCTGTCCCGATTTGTTAAAAATAATAATATTAAAATTAAAGTCAAAATTAGCCAACGAAGTCTAAATGAAAGTTGGAGAATATATTCCCGCCTACGCGTGCATATAGAGAACGTCAAAAACGGAGCTCGTATGCGAAAGTTATGAATTTTAGAAGTTTTGGGTGTAATTTTCGAAAAATTCGCATGGATGAGAAGCGGCCACGTCACCCTCGCCTCGCCTACTGACCCGTGTCCGAAGCAGCTGCATCATCTGATCGTGGTGCGTCCGAGGAACGATGTGTATCGCATCCTTCTAAGTCCGAGCTCCCGTCCAATCATCTGAAGACGCGTGTGACCTCGGTGGCAAGCCCTCGCATGCGAGACGTGTCCGAACCCCCTATTGTCGCGTGTTCGCTCCTCAGCCTCCGTGTCCGAGCCTTGCAGCCACTACGTGGACCCTTCTCAGCCACAAGGTCCGAGCCCTCGTCCCTATATAACCGGGGGGGGGGGGCTGCGAGCCTTCTCGGGTACTTTTGGAATATTGACATTTTTCACCCCTAAACTTATATTTTGACTATTTTGACTTCCCCCGAAGCCCCGATATCATTTTTAAAGCTCGGAATACGTCCCGAAGTGCCTGAAGACCCGAAAAATTTTATCTTTTCGGTTTTGAAGCTCCAACCCTCGCAGAGCCCGGTTTCTCAATAATACTCCCGGTTTTATCAGAAACGATCATTTTAGGGAATGAATTGCTGCCCGATTATCATCAAATCAAGTGAGTGTATAGTCACTTTTCATCTTACACATAAATATGAAGTATTTTATATAAATACGTGCTATGTGTGTGTGTGTGTATATATATATATATATTGATTGTTTATTTGAGATGATTGTTGAATACAATGTTTTATACAAGTTATAAATTGTATATGTATTTTATCTACAAATATGTTGGGTAAAACATGGGTAGAAGAAATAGTTGATGTGTGTTAAAATGATGAGAGGTCTCGATGTTGTTGTTGTTCCAGTCATCTAGCGGAGTATGGATGACGACCACGGACTCTTCTAAACAGTCTAGTGGAACGCTAGCAGGCTCGCAACTTGTAGGTGTTTGTGGGCTTGATGTTCACCGGTGTACTCCATCCCCCTCATGGTTGCCTTACGGACATATATGGCTGAGGAATCCCCTTAGTAGTAAAGTCCAGCCCGATGATAAGATCCTTAGACTAGGTCCCTTGTATAGGTGTTTAGGGACGTAAAGTGAGGATAACGAGAATGGGTAATCAGGGTTATTGTTGGTTTGATAAAACTAATAAATTTATTGTTGATCGATGAAATTAATAAATTTATTATTATTTGTAGGTTGAAAACCCTATATGCTCAGCAGGCTCCCAAGCCTGACCTACTCAGCTTTCTGTTTTACAGGTAGTGGACCCAGAGCATAATTTGGATGATGATGAGGGATTTTTGGATTATAGGCCAGTAGTTGTAAATAACTGTTGTAAGGCTTATAATGTACTGTTTATGTTTTTGATCTGTATCAAATATGACATCCCGAGTCTTTTTAATGAAATAAATTTTTACGGAAATGCTTTGATAAATCTTTATTATATTTTTATTTTGGGAACAAATTCCGCAACACTTTTATGTAAAATATTACTCTGATTTTCAAACAAGCATAAACAAAATCAGTATTTTCTGGCCGTGAAATTGGGGATGTCACAGTTGGTATCAAAGCATTAGTTTAAGCGAACTATGAATTTGTAGGATTTGTAGACTTAAACTCAGAATGCTAAGCGATGATTGTGAGGTGTGAGCACTAGTATATTTTAGGAAAGATGCCTAAAATGTTATTAT